CACTCCTGGTACTCTCCCTTCCTACTTCCTACATTAGCATCAAATTCAAACCTTTATCACTTCATCCACAGATTAGCACGAAAGCCCGCTTTTCTTATCCTAGTGCCCTCCCCAGGACAATCCACCCCGCCCCTGCCACAAGAGTAGCTTACAAGGAGCTAAAGGCCATCACTGAAGCTTTACATGTGTGTGATGTAACACTCAAAATACCTCATGAGAATGGCTAGGTAGGTAGTCTTCTGGATGACTTAGAGGTATATACAGGAATTTCTCTGAAGAGCACACAGTACTCAGTTATAAATCTGTCTCTGTTTTTCCTGTTTTCCAAGTATGCATTTTTATGTACAAGTTATCTCTAAAGAAGCATTCTGCTAACCTTTACCTTAAGTGAGCTACTTAACAGCAAGACCATATTTATCATATTACGTTTTTCCCCACATGCCTGCTGACTCCAAAGTTACTCATGTCATTCATCACCACAGCTTACCTAAAAACAAATGTCTAACATGTTTCAATTTTAACAAATTTTAAACCAATATATACTAATAAAACTTAATTATAAATCTCAACACACATTGATACATAACGTGACCACACTCTATTCATAACCTTAAAATACTTTAAGTGAAAAACCAATTTAATGCTCTTTCCACTTATAATCACCATTCATATTTCTACTACAGTTCAATTTAAAAAAGTTGGTAAAATTTTGGTTTTCTTTATATTCTTCTTGCTATATTAAATAATATTAAATCAATGTGAAGTATTTAATAGGGTGAGCAGACATTTAATAATCTTACCATATTGGATGGAAAGGGCAACATAACAAACCTCTGCGGTAATAAGTGTTTTTGTGCCCTGACTATGGGACCTCATACACTTTAGCAAAATCTTACCTCTTCAAGGAACTGGGGATCTCTGGTTTTTTTTGTTTTTTTTTTTTTTTTTTTTTTTTGGCCTTTTCGAGACAGGGTCTCTCTATGCAGTTCAGGTTGGCTTTGAACTCACTCTGTAGCCCAGGCTGGTCTCAAACTTGCAACAATCCTCCTGCCTCAGCCTCCCAAGTGCTGGGATTACAGGTGTGTACCACCACTTCCAGCTCTGTATCATTTTTATGACTGCATATGAATCTATAATTATCTCAAAACAAAACGTATAACTTAAAAATATAACTGAAGAGCAATAAGAATTCATTTTTCCAGCTTCATGTCAATATTTTCAAAGACTGTATATAGATCTGACTTTAAATGACTAGTAACTTAAGAATGATAAATTGTATTCCTTTTAAAAAACTTACTAGGAAAATAAATACTTACTAGAAAACACATCTAAAAATTATTTCCAGAAAATCTTAAGGAAGCAAGAAGATACACTGTTACAAAGTCTGATCTGAATAGGGAAAAGCTAACCTTTACTTCCTTGTTAAAATAACTTTCCAAACAGAAGCATCAGAGACACAATACAGACAGCTTGCAAAACAGCAATGTAGAATTTTTTTGCAAAATTCTTACTTGGTTTCAAAAACTAACAAAGAAAATTTTCAGACACCATGCAGAAACTTAACTTCTACTAAAACTTAAAATACAACATCACAATTTATATCTATACACTGCATTGAAACACCTAAACCACTTCCATTCTGTTGGTCTTTCTTTCTGTACATGACCTCAGAGAACACCCCACTTTCACTCCCACAGACACCCCCAGGCTCACTCAATGACAATCCACAGAGATTAAGGAGCCAAATGAACAGACTCAGTCTAAGCACAAAGCAAAGGAAATTAACACCTGAATGAAGAAATACAATGTAGTATGGTCCTTAACGCAAATAACAGTCAATCTACATCTTTCCCATACTGACTTTTTTTAAGTGTCAGCCATCATACAAGTTATTTGTTTTGCTTTACAAATGATAAAAGTAACACCACATATAACACATATTGTACGCTTTTAGCTAAAAAGAAATTCATACTAGTTCTCAAAAACAGTCAACTATGAAATTAAGCAAAGGAAAGGTAATTAAAAGGAAACTATACTGCACAATTATAACTACAATTTTCATAAAGCAAAAGGCATGAAGTTTTACAAATTTATTCTGAAAGCAAAACCAAAAAAAACCTAAAGAGAAGTCAGATCTTTAGCTCCTTAGATGCTACCAATAAACAAGTACTACCATGTATTATATACCCTCTGAAATTAGGGCAGGTTATGCAAATGTCAATAAAGTACACAAAGTATATATACACCACTTTTCCAGTTTCTCTTAAACACTCCCTTTAAGATAAGAAAGTGCTACAGAGAAGCCATATCAGTATATTTTGACATAAAATAATCACATGCCCTTTTTTCAAAATTTAAATCCACTCACTAATTACTGAAGGTCACAGCTTTTTTTGGACAACCTTCCCAGACACTAAAAGCCACATCCATTAAATACAAGCATATAAATTCAAACTTTCAAGGAATAACAGCCCCAACTAAAACTAAACATTTCCTACTCCAAAGAATCAAGTGTGATCACTTCTACAACATAGAGAAATATTTCTGTGTGTATATAATGAAATCTACTGGATGGTAGCTAACAACTCCAACGCCAAGCTCCTAATCCACATCTGAGCTTAAAACACAAACTTTTAAAAATTTCACAGACGTTCTTACATCATAAACTATTCTTAATATAACTGCTCACATATATTGTTCAAAAAACAAAAAAACATTTAAAATAGCAAGTTTCTGAAGTCCAAATCCTTATTAACAGCTGAATATATTTTCTACAACTTAAGTTGAAACAGTATAAAACAGCAAAATCAACAATCATTTAAGGAAATACACCAGATACCTACCATGTATTAGACAAAGTATAATTTGAAAGTCTCTAAGAATGAATTCTTTGTTGCTTAGTTTCTATAAATGAATTCTTGGTTACTTAATTTTGAAGTACATTCAAAGCACTAATAAAGGGGATACAGCCTATTTCTATATTAATAATTTTATTTCCCTATCCCCAAGTAAGTAAAAGTTTTCAAATGATTACCACTTTTTTAAGTTGAGGTTTGACTAAATTTGATGATATCCTTTGATCAAAGATAATACTTTACTATTCTTTGGGCTATGTAAAGTCCAAAAGTATTTTTACTTTACCTATTTGAAATAATCAACGGCATGCTATATTTTACCCACAAGCTGTAATTTCAAAATTATAAATAAATCTTAATAAATTAGTTTATGATTTGAAATAGAAACATTTTTAAAATGTAAAGCAGAACAACGTGTTCAACTAGTTATGGTATTTATTTTCTGACATTTTACTCTCAGTATTTTTTTTTTAAAAATCAACTATCATTTTACTAAGGTAAATAAAAAATAATGGTCAAAAGGAATTACTGAGTTTCAGCCTAGAGATTGGACAGCTGGCTTTCTTTTTTCGTTTTGTTTTTTTTGTTTTTCTTCCAGTACCAGGAATCGAACTCACAACCTTGCACTTGCCAGGCAGGCACTTTGCCGCTGACCTAAATCCCCAACCCCAAGAGCTGGCTTTCTTAAGATGATATTGTTATGGTTTTTATTTATTTATTTTATCTCCCTGAGCACTAAGAAACCTTTTTTTTTTTTTTTAGTTTCTTTGAGATGGGGTCTCACTTTGTGGTTCAAGTTGGCCTTGAACTCACTATGTAGCCCAGGCTGGCCTCAAACTCCTGGTGATCCTCCTGCCTCAGCCTCCCAAGTGCTGCAATTATAGGTACTACTAAGGAATAAAATTGTTTTGTTTTGGTTTGCTTTGGTTTTGCAACCAGGAATCAGACTCAGGGCCTTGTGCTTGCCAATCCACAGCCCACTAAGGAATAAATTTAAACTGAGAAGTACAGCTTTTAATGAACCCTGTTTCCAGAATATTTAAGTAATAAATTTAAAATCAATTAGAAAAACAAAAAAATGAGATAATTTTTTTTTCCCTTTACTAGGGATGGAACCAAGGGGTGCTCTAACTCTGAGCTACATTCTCAGCTTTTTATTTTTTATTTTGAGACAAAGTCCTTCCCAGGCTGGACTCCAACTCTCCATCCTCCCACCTCAGCATCACTCAGTGCCGAGATCACAAGTGTGCACCACCACACCTAAATGGTTAACAATGGAATATAGTAGTTATAAATACACCAAAAGTAAATTTAAAGGTAACAGCACCGGTATAGAAATAGGAATCTCAATTCACCCCGAATATTATCCTAACAATTTGAACATAGAGGGCAGAATATAATAATCTAAAAGGTGTCATTTAAAATAACCTAGCTGGGTATAGCAGCATACCCCTGTAACACCAATACCTAGGAGGCTGAGGCAGGAAGACTGCTACAAGTATGAGGCCAGCCTGGACTACATAATGAAACACTGTCTCAAAAAGACAAAAACCTTTTAATAAATAAATAAATAAAATAAATCTAAGCTTCTTTCCATTTCTAACATTTAGTCCATTAACATTTTAAATAAAAATATTGATTTCTTACAGATTTCTAAAGGAATGACCACGTTTTAAAATAAATCTTACTGATCATTATTTATTTCAATTCTACCTTTCATCCAGTCAATAATATTGCTTTATCCATTTCCTGGAACCCGAAGTTTAATAATGCTAACAAGCTCAAAACCTAAAACTGCATATATTTAAATAAGTGTTTTTCTTCTGAAGACCATCCACGGACCACAGATCATTTTCTTATGCTACTTTTCTAATACTGAGACACAATGCAATCCCTGTACTGAAGACAACTTTCGACTTTAAAACTCACAGAAAAGAAAATTTTAAATCCATACTAAAACACTTACACACCTACAAATGAATCTTTAGTACAACTGCCCAAGTCTGAGGGTTTTCTGTTTTTGTTTATAATTTTAACTCGACATACTAAAGAATGTATGAAGATATGCATTAAAACATTTCACACTTTCCAACCAAAATGTATCAGAACATCAAAATACGAGTTTTGTTTCAGACATTATCTTACCTGATCCACTGAACTGACTGCTTCCCAGTGTCGTTGGTCTGGTTTTCCCACTATTAACAGGTGGGGAAAACATCTGCAAAATAACCCATACGTATCTGTTAATCCTGAAATTTTCAGAATTTTGCAAACAAAAGTCCACCAAGTGTCCTCAGTTAGTTACTGTATTTCATAGGACAGCTAAAATAAAACTGGTGATACTCAGTCCCGCAACAATGAGAGACAACTATTCCCTAACACTACTTGGAAATACTAGCGACATTCTATTCTGACAAGCCAGTTACTTACACGAAAGATTCCAAGATAATTCAGTTTAAACTATCAATTTTTACCCACGAATCGCACTTTGGAATTGGGTTACTCACATGACATTAATACTATTTAATACACAAGTTAGAATCATGTTCAACAAAATTATTACACACAGTAACGATTTTAACAGCTCCCACTACAAATAAAGGCATTAGACACCCCCAAAATAGATCTATATATGCATTTTTTAAGAAAACACAAATATATGCCAAATATGTATCTTAAAGCGCTCAACTCAGACTGCCTGGCTTTCTCGTAGTTGACATCTTTCGGGTACCATAAGCCATAGGCGATCTTGGGGCAAGGAAATGGTGACAAGCGATGGAGAAAACACGATTTTCTACTTTCGTATAAAGTCTAAAAACTAAAAATCACCAGGCTGAGAGAGCACCGCCACCACAGCTCACGATTACAGTGCGCTAACTGCTTAAACCCAACGACCCCCGGGCACCGGAGTTTGAAGCCCGCAAGCCCGGACGTTACGCGAAGTTCGGGTGCCCGGGAGCGCGGTGCCGCCGGCGGGCAGGGGCTCGGGAGGGGTCCGCCCGCCGCCCG